CTGCATATTTCCTTTGTCCTTCTTTAGCTTCATGGTCTTCTATTCCTTTGGTTACTCGAACCAGTTTATTATTATTTACTGGTATTGCCTATGGAATGTCTTCGTATGTTCTCTCAATCTTGATCACAGCTAAGGCTTTATACTTGAATTTCTTAATTCTTACTATATGGACCTTTCTAAATCTTCTACAGATGTATTTTAGTTCGCTTTCATTTATATCTGCAGGTAGGTCCCAAATTGTTATATGACTTGTGTTCTTTAATTCTTCATTTGCTTCATGTTGGTTTTCGTTTGTCTTACTTTTATTTTCTTTCCTTTTGACTTCTTCTTCTTTGATTCTTGATTTGCTGTTGTCTCTTCTTTGACTTTTTCTGCATATTGTGTCTGTCTCTTTATAGTGTTTTCTTTTTCTTCTGATATCATTCTATACCAGTCACTCTTCTTTTTGCTGATTCTCTGTATAGCATCATTTCTGCCATACTCACAGTCAAAGTCAACTTCTATTCATAAGTTTCCTCTTTTGAAGGTTTCTTTTATGTCTTTGACATGTATATTATTTCTTAGAGACCATCTAATAAACTTCATACGTTCTTTTTTCGTTTTCCCTGACACATTGTGTGCTGGTATATTCACAAGTAAACTATTGTTCTGGTTACAATTTCTCTTGCTTGGGGCCTATATGCTTTCTTTGAGAGGCTCCCCTACTATATCAATTTCCCTTTCGAAGTTCAGTTCAATGACTTCTTGTTCTTGATCCTCTTTTTGTTTTCCTGTAGTTCTTTTTTGGCTAGGCAGATTCTCTTGTTTTCGTTGGATTTGTTCTATTTCCATCTTGCTGTTGTTAATAGTACTTACCTTTGCTGCCTCTTCTTTCTGCAATATCTTGTCGGTTTCTTGAACCTTTGCTTCATAATTTTTTCTTTTTTTTCGTTTCTCTTTTGGTGTTTGGTCTTGTTCTATCTTTTATAGCTTTTCCATTCTTGCAATTTGGTTACATTTCTCCTTAAGTCTGTCTTGATTTTGTTCTGGAATAGGTTCTAATATCATTGCGTAGTTGCTTTGCTCTACTATACTTAATTTCCTTTCTGGTTGCTTTTTTTCTGCTTTATCTATTAATTCTCTTGTTAATCTTAATAGAGCAACTTCTTCTGAATTCTGATTTGTCAACATAGCAACAATTTCATCTTCTCTGCTAGGCAATATATATGTTTCATCTGCTTGTTTAATGAACACACCATTTTGCACACTATTAATAGCCCAGTATGCTCTATTGATATATATTGTTATTAGACTACTATTACATCTTTTGGTTAAATCCATATTTCTATCTATATTAAGCATGTGTTTGTTTTGCTTATCCTACATGTGGTTGAATTGCTTGTTTGTTTATGTTCTTGTGACCAAAACAGATCTGCGATACCAGGTTAGTGCCAATTCCCCAAAATGTTACAATTTTCAAATTTTCGAGTGTTTTCTTCAAATAATTTTAGGTTTCTTTGCTTTTCTATACTGTATCTCTTGTGTTTGTTTATTTCTTCTCTTTTTATATACCTTTTTTGGATGCTCTTTCTTTTTATTTAGTTCTGTTAAAGTAGTTTAGAAGACCACTTTTGCATAAAATCAGTTTTTTTTTTAATCGATTTTGTGTTTAGATGATCAGCGGGGAGAGTGTTTTGAAAAACAATATCAATATAATTTATGATTAAAAACTATTTATTAAAATAATTATAAAAAAGATTATTCTTAGTTTTCTGTTCTTAAAAAATTTTAAAATATATTTATAATATTAAAAGAAAAAAAAATATCAGTTGTTTAATTAAACTTAGAAAATTTAGCAAAGTTTATATATTTATAAGTTAAGTAGTTAAATAACTAAACAACTAAGTATTAAGCAACTAAGTAACTAAGTAACTAAATAATTAAGTAATTACTAAATAACTAAAAAGTTTTAGCAACTAATAATTATTAAACAATTAATTACTAAGTAACTAAGTGATCAAGAGCATGATAACATAATGAAGTAGTTATATTATTAACTTACAAATGATAGATTTAGAGTTTAAATTTCAGTATTAATGAAAATTTTAAATTTTTTTTATATTACAGTTAATTATCTTCTGTTATTAGTTAAAATAAGATATCTGTTATCTGTATTATATCAGCATAACTAGAAGGTTATATTGCATAACTCTTCATATATATTTTTACTTATTTCTATCCTATCTGGTCTAGTTCTATTGATCTTATTTCTACTATTTACAATTCTTCTATTTCTTACTGTACTGCTACTATTCTTTTCATCAAACTTTTCTTCATTTAAACCAACAAATATACAAACAAATATGGATTCCATACTGTGTTTCACATTTTGTACAGTCTCAAACCATACTTTTTACTAACTTAACTTATAGTTATTCTTCTAACCTACCTTTACCTTCTATTTCAATACCACAAATTATTACTAAAATTGATTTTTAGTATTTAATGAATTAAATACTATACTTCTTTCTTTTATATTATTACTCAAACCCAAATCTAGATGAGTCTTAGTCATTTTTCTAGGTTTAGGTCACAGATTATATGTTTGAGTTTTTATTCTTTATTTGTAATTTAAAAACAAGCTTTTCTTTGTAAAAACTTCAATTGAATTTTAATAAAGTTAAAAGCATGGCCTCACTGTTAATATTTAAAAAAAAAAAACTAGAAGGTCATATAGTATTCATATAATAGTTGTACTTTGTATAAAGAAATACAAACAGTACTAAATAATATAAATCTATATTAAATTCTCAAGGCTATGTAAATAATAGAAATCAGAAATATGAAAGTTTATTTAAAAGACTTAAGTAGAAAGATAACTCAAATTTTTGACAATGCTACTGTAAAGACTAAACCTATAAACTAAAACTAAAACTTGTAAAGCTAGATGAAGACAAATTAGTTTTTAGAAAAAACTGTTGTAATTAGCCAAAATGTTAAAACTTTAGAAAAGATAATAGAAAAAAAAATTATATGTTGATGAACATATAAACTAGAAATATAATTGTATCTATTTTTTTAGACTATCTGAATTAGAAGTTTGGTGAAACTTAAATTGAATATCAAAATAATAAAAATATATTATAAAATAAGTATTAAGATTAGAGTGAACTTTATAAGAGTATAACAGTTTAATAGTATATTTTAATTGTAAGTGTTGGTTTCAGTTATAGCATTATCAGATTAACTATAAGAATAAAATACAGAAAATTCTAAAAGATTTAGTACAAAATCAAAGGTTTCCCATATAAATAAACTACTTTAAAGACTTAATACTTATGATATATTTTTAGCAATATTAATTAAGGTTATTAGTAGGTGTAGGTAGATAGGTGAATATAAGAACTAGAATATTTAAATAAGAAATTTTCAAGCAGGTTTTATGTATAGTAACTAGTATAGAACCTTTAGTCAGACTATTTAAATTAGGTAATAACAGTTATATGAGTGACTAGTTATTTACTCTTTTTATAATTGATCCTTGTGATTGTAATATAACCATTAGCTGAATGTACTATTAATAAAATTCTGAATTACAAGTACTTACTTTAATATTTAAAAAAAAAAATAACTAAGTAACTAAATAACTAAATAACTAAATAATTATTAAGTAACTGAAAGATTCTAATAATTACTAATAATAATACAATAATAAGAATAATTAATACTAAATAATAATATCAAAAAAAAATAAATATTATTTATTCTTTAATATTATATTTATAATTGTATTATATTTCTAATCTAATTATTATATATATGCTATAATGTTTTTTTTTGATATTAAGATAACCTCTTTGTTTTTTGACTTTATTAATATATTTTTAAGAATATAGTTCTATAAAAAACTACTACAGAAAGAGCATACAATTAGTCAATTGTATAACTTTCTATATTACTTATTTAAGAAGTATGTTTAATATTTCTTACCAATTAACATATCTAATCTTTCTGCTTAAATGTTCTATTTTAAATTCTCTAAATCTGTCTTATGTTACTTTACCAAATCAAGCTTAGATCTTTTATCTTAAGTTTAGAATATTTTTATCTTCAAAGTAAATCTTTTGAAGTCTGCTATATACCTATTTTTATAACTAATTCAGATATTGTTATAACAAAACTAATACTTGCAATTAGAGCTAATTATTAAACTACTGTATTCTTATAGAGTTTACTCAGACTTTAATATCTACTTTACAACATATCTTTAGTACTTTAGTATACTTCTGCTTCTTTTATCAAACTTCTAATTCAGATAACCCATGTAGGACTATGACCAGTTCATCAGTATATTAGGTTAATCTAATATCTTTTTCTTTTGATCCAATTTGACAATCTGATTAATAATACCTTTAAGACTTCCAACCTAAAGATTCTTGTCTGTCTAACTACTTTAATATTGATATCTGTTTTTTAAGTCTAATCTTTACAGTAATACTATTAAAGTTCCATGTTACCTCTCTACTCAAGTCTTTCCAAATAGGTTTCTTGTTTTCCAATTTTATATATGTTATAATATAACTATTAACTAAACTAATAATTAATAATATTATAATATAATAACAAAAATCTTTAAAACAACTCTTTTTACTAATTCTTTGTTACAAATTTAAATAAAACACAAAATCATAAATAATTCAATAAATAACATAAAAAACATGCAAAAACAAATTAAAAAAAAAAACAGCAAACAAGCCAAATACATATACATATATAGCACTTTGATATAATATAATTTGCCACATTATATTACTTTCTTTTTATTAAATAGATATGAATTAAACTTTTTATTAATATATTTTATTTTTTATGCCTTACAAAATATTGAGAACCAGATTTTATAATTTAACTTAGGTTTGGACCTTATCATATAAAAGTCTGGTTCTTAGGTTTTAATTTGGAACCTAAAGATTTTTAAACCTAAACCAAACCTAAACTAACTTTGCCATCCCTATAAGAAATTAAGTCTCTGCTTGCTGACGTGGTGCACGTTCGCCTCCACGCTCTCCACCACGTCGAGCAACACGAGGATTGCGCTCGCCTAGTGTGTTAAGCGCTGGCGGTGCCGTGACTGTAATTCCAGCCAAGTTTTCAAAATTTAAAAATTTAAGAAGATCCTATTTCCAGACATTTAAGATTTCAGCAATTTTGCTAAATGTAAAAAACAAAAAAAAACTAAAATAAAATAAAAATCATAAATTCATACCTTTGTGTCAGGATCAATTTCAATATTTTCCGTGGCTAAAGCAGAGACATCGGGGACGTAATTATCTTTACGTTCACGTTCTTCTTCTTGCAATTTGAAGGAGATACCACGGACCGGACCACGCTGAATACGTTTCATTAAATGTGTGGTGAAGCCAGCAATCTTATTACGAAGCCTCTTAGACCTAGATAGTTTAAAAGAATTTTAAATAAAGACATCTTTTTTCTCCAAAGCAATACACAATCGATTGTTGGAATTGAATTCAATGCGCAAAAGGCTTACGCAATTATAGCGACTTCATCACAAATCTAACATGAAATGAAGGAAAATTATCTCTGGTACACATAAAATATTGCATCAAGCATTCTCAAAACTTACTTTTTTATTGGTTTGAAAATCAAGAGTAAGACGTGGATAATATTTTTCAATAATAACCCGGGACGCCTGAAAAGTAAAAACAATTCAGTTTATACGAAAAGTAATACAAATAATAAATTTTAATAAACTTAATGATATACTTTCTTAACGGTCTTTGTTCGGACACGGCCCTAAATAATGGACAAATTACTTGTGAATAAACAATATGCATTGAACATAAATTCAATTATCTAATGGTAAGCGAGCATCGAAAAATTTAGCCCACAAATTAGATCATTATGATCAGGTTTATTTGTCGTGTTAATATCTCGACGAAGAAAATGGATGGATATTCATTAATATTAGCTACTAGAAACATATCTATTTATTTTTTTTTTGTTAAAAAAAAAGCCTTTGTAGCTGAATGACTATGTTACGAGGAGTGCAAATTTATATATTAAGAATACACCCTCACTAAAAATTTTTCGCTTACATACTCACCATTTCGACTCTGATATCTCTAACTGATAAAAAAAAAAAAATCAACTTGCATCATATTTAAAAAAATTTTTTTACTAATCATGTGATAAGAAAATTTGTGACTGATCAGACTATATGCCTTCTAATTGGTTAGTCGAGTTAAATTGAGACGAATTTTGGGTCGTGCCCAGTATCTTGGGCAGTAATAATAGGACTGTCAAATTTTCATTACCTTAAATTTTTTTTAAACCCTATCAAAAACGGTACGTAAATGGATTTTTTCTATTCTTTCAGAACAATACCAGCGACATTAAGAATAGTATTTTTCCACGCCAATCGTTTTTTGCGAAGAAAAATTTTTCGATAATACTTACATTAATATATCAGAATAAGTACATGCCGATAGAAATGATTGGATTAGCAAAGTACAATTTTGTAAAACTTATTTTCAATTTATCTGAGCGGTAAAAATTGAAAGCAAAAAAAATTGCATTATCGTTATGTGAACGTGTTTAATATTTGGTATATCACGATTTAATACGCATGTTGTAGGTGGGAACGGGATTTTTTGACTAAATTAGAATTTTTATTTGATATAAACCCCATATTCTAACCCAAGATGAACTTCTAATTTTTTTAAGGTGATAATAAAGTGCAGTTTATAGTTATTATAAAAAAATTACGTTTTACATAATTTAATCGATAATCTAACAAGCAGTGATTGATTCGATAATCGATTCTTTCTCGTGTCTATATTCGCTAAAGTTTTATAACTAAGGGCTCACAAAAAATAGTCAGAGTCACAGGGCATTACATATGTCACCCAAACTCAAATTTCATGTGTCATAATTTCAAGCTCTGGCCAAATCCCAAATCCCGTACTACAACTTAATAGTCTTAGGATGTTAAGAACTAGCTGGTTTCTTGGAATCAACCAGAGTGATCACGAGTTACCCAGGATACTCAAAAGTTGTTATACATACAGTAATTGGTTTTGATTGAGCTGTTTTCATTTTTCTTTCTGTGTAAATATAATTACTGCAGTTTTTCTTTAATTTCTATTTCTATTCAATAGGATATAAACTGATCTTGCATCTTTGCTTTTTAGATATTGTAATAATAAGATCTCTAAAGCATTACTTGGCAGTTCTGTTAATTTTGCTATGTACTGTTTTTGTTTTTGTCTTGTCTCATAGTTTTTCTTTTTCTATTACTCTTATTAGTTTATTATTATTGATTAGTATAGATTATGAAGTACTTCTTTCTTCTGTTTCTTTTATTTAGATTATTACAAGAGATTTATATTTGAATTTCTTAATTCTTATTATATATATTTTCTTAAATCTTTTTTTTTTTTTAATATAAAATAATATATTTTATTTAGCATATTGGTGGATTTGCATATTATCCAAAATTTTTGACGCGTCTAAATTTGACTTCATATTAGTGCGTCAGTAATTTTTATAATGTTAACGTAAACTAAAATTTGCGAATCCTAAATTCTTTTTTCAAGTTCTAAATATTTTTTGCTGGAGACAATGCTAAGTGGTAGATCACCTAAAAATACAAAGCCGTGTACAGCATATGGCGATCTTAAAAGAATAAAAGATACTTTTGGTATTATGGTATAAAAATTTTCGCGTTTATATCAGTATATTCAACAAGATCTTAGCTTCAATGATTTTAAAACAGCTTTATTAATCTTAAAATAGGATTAGCGACTTATAGTTGAACATTCGTTTATTAGTTATCCAGATAACTTACTTACATACTTTGTGTAAGTCAATGTCTCAAGATTCAAGTGCTAAAGGAATTTTTGATGTAATTTCTTACATTGCTTCAGAGGTATTATATACGGATAGGAAAGAGTATACTGTAAAATCAGATATTTATTCTTTTGGGATTAAAATATCAGAGATCTTTATTGGATATTCTCCAAAATAGTGAATATAACAATTTAGATTGGAATTCCAAAGTTGCAATCTTATATTACATAATTAATGCAAAATTAGTGCATGAAGATTTTCATTCTGGAAATATATTAATTTTGGATTATTAAAAAATTTATACAGCACAATAGCTAATTCATTAGCAGTTGGTTAGTTGGGAGGTTCAGCGTCTATGTATTTATTCATTAAATCCAAAAATAGTTGAAGAACTCATATTTAATTTCGGGTCTATGATCTAAGCAAGTTTTCGTTACTAAATTTTCATCATGCGAAGTATCATAATATGATTTAAAAAATGAAAAAAACCAAATTATACGAACAAGTTGAAAAAATTAAAGACTCGAACAAAAATTCAAATCAAGTTACATCAATACGACTCAACTACCAGACACATAA